ATTCACCAAATAATGAAGAAAACACATAAGAGAAAAAAAAAAAGGAACAGATTTCTTTCCAAGAAATATTTTTCTATGTAATATAAGACAGGAGAGAAAACTGAGGCACCTAGGGAACAAAATTTAAGAAGACATTTATTCCTTAATCCTAGGTTTAGATCTCTGTAAAATATCTGAATGAAATAAAAACAAACAAACAAGCAAAAAAAAAAAAAACCCTCATAAGCCACTAGAGCTAGGAAGTGAGTTCCTTTAGGCTGCAGAACATGAAAAGAATACACAAAACTTAACTGGCTGGTTAACAAAATTATCTGTTTGTGTAATGGTAAAGAGATCAACAGAACAGGGAACCCAGCACATATTCAGACGAGGAGTAAAGGTAACCGGGAAGGACAAACTTGTCATCAAATGGATATTCATATGAGAAAAAAAAAAAGAACTTTGATCCATACCTCATACCATGTATTAAAATGAAAATGAAGCTCAGATGCAAATATAAAACATGAAGTTACAAAAGTTCTAGAATGAAACACAGGAAAACAATTCTGGGAGCTTCGAGTAAGTAAAATTTTCTTAGGTACAAAACTAAAATCCATTAGAGAACAAACTGATAATCTGTATTTCAAAATTTCAAACTTCTGTTCTTCAAGGTGCTAAAGTAATTAAAAGACAGGGCAAACCCTGGGAGGGGTGTCTGTAAATCACAGGCCTGAAAGCATTTGCATGCAGAACTCTCAAATCAAAACTGGAAGAAAAAAAGGAAAAGGAAAAGAGATGGCAACTTAAACAAAACAAAACAAAACATGGTCACCAATGTAAACAGATCCTGAAGACGTTCCAAAGACGGCAGCCAGGCACCTGAGAAAGCACTCAGCATCACCAGTTGGCAGGAATGAGCGAACCAGAGAGAGCCAGGGGAAAACAGCAAGCCTGTCTGTGAGAATGGTTAAAATGACAAGACAGTGACCTGCCATGTCAGATCTGCAGAGGACCAAAGAGGTTGGAACGCTTCAAGGGGAAATGCATTTAAAAGAGAAAAAAAAAATTACTTATGTACAGTGTTCTGTCTGCATGGATGCCTGCAGGCCAGAAGAGGGCACTAGAGCTCATTATCGATGGTTGTGAGCCACCATGTGGTTGCTGGGAATTGAACCCAGGACCTCTGGAAGAGCAGCCAGTGCTCTTAACCATTGAGCCATCTTTCCAGCCCCTGGAAATGCAATTTTTGTTTTTCTGTGAGCCAGTCTCCGTATAGTGAAGGCTGGCTTCAAACTCACTATCACCCTGACTCCTTTTTCCTGAGTGTACACTACCGTACGCAACTTGGCTTAAGAAAATACATCTGCAATATGATCCTGACCTTTCATTTTTATGAATTTACATAAGGGAAGTGAAAGTGCTTCCCCAAATACAAACTTGTACAAGAAGATGCAGCAGCTTTATGTGTAAGGGCTAAAAATTGACAGAAGCTGGATGTGCATCTCCCGACAGCAGAAGCACAAAGTGTGGTAGACCTTAGAATGGAGCAATGGCAGGCAGGGAAAAGAACGAACTACTGATAAGTGCTGAAACATACAAGAATGCCAAAGTAATTAGGAATGAAAACATCCAGACATAACAGAATTCGTGGTCTCTACAGTATCTGTTATTATAAACAATTCTGGAACATGGAAACCAGAGTGCTTTCACTCTGAAAAACGGAAGGAGCAATTAAAACGGGACACAGAACAACTGAAGGAAGACAGGTCTGCTCACTGTTTTGATTGGAGGAGGTGAGCTTGCAAGAACATAAATTATCAAAGCATATATTTAAAATTCAGAGAGTTCACTGTATGTAAATGATCCCAATAAAGCTGCATACACACACAAAGCAAATGATAAAGCAATAATGAAAGCAATTCACGGCTCGTGATATGCAGACAGGACCCACAAAAACCCATTTTACATGAATAATCCGAGAGGAAAACAAAGAACTGTGTAGCCAACAGCCAACAAAGAAGAACACGGTATTAAAATGCAAATAAAAATACGATGTTTTTTTTCCTGTCTGACTGACTAATGTATTTCAAGACAATTTTCTCTAAGCAACAAAATGGATAAGATAGGTATGTACTTAAACATATACCACAGTTACTGCATAAAATTATTTAAATAAATTACTGATATATGTGTGTTGGTGTGTGTGTGAGAGAGATAAAACGGAGTATCACCATTGAAATCAAGTGCAGAAATAAAATTATCACCACAAAAATAATACAAAATATTTTAAAAAGTGTGTATGTGTGTGTGTGTGTGTGTATTTGAAAAAGGGTCTCTCTATGTGTGTGTTTGAAAAAGGGTCTCTCTATAGTAGCCTGGGCTGTCCTGGAACTTGGATTGTAGACCAGGTGGGCCTCAAACTCACATAAATTTGCCCACCTCTGCCTCTTGGGTGCTGGGAGTGAGGGACCACACCAGGTGCTAGAATAATGTATATAATATACATTATATATTATATATATTTGATGAGCATAAAATGTTGGGCTTTTTAAAGTAAAAAATCATCTATGAGATACAGCACCTGTAAAAAATACAGATTTTGATATCCACATACAACCTCATCTATGTAAACTGAGGAGAAGAGCCAGCTGATACCTAGCATTCTCTCTGCAGACCATGCTGGATGAGTTCCAGAGGACAGGGCCCTGGAGGAGGCCTGCTGACCACAGCAAATGTCAATGACAGGTATTCCTCAGCACCAATTCTCTGTCCTTAAAGGCAAGAGCTGCCACTCCCTGTAGATTTTTTTGCACATTCTAGGGTTGTTTTTTTTTTTTTTGTATTTTGTACTTATTTTCAGAGTAACAAGAACATTTACTTCACCTTCAATTATCCAAAGATAACTTTAAAAATGAGCAAATGTAAAGCTGTAGAAAAAGACTACAGACAAGTGTTCCACAGGCCAGCATTTGGAAGTCTGCCTCTAGAGTGGATAGGTTTCAGGGCTGGAAGTCAACAAACGGACATCCAATTTGATGATCTCTGTCTTCTTTGCTTTGAAAACTCTGCTGCCTGCTTTTAGTTTTCTTGTTGCAAGTAAAGCTGCATCTAACAACAGTCTAGCATTCTAACTTCCTAGATTTTCTGAGAGTTTGTATTTGCCAACCACAGTTTCATTTAACCCTAGTGAGAAGCAGTCACGAGGATGTCCAAGAAGCACACGTCCTGGCATCTTAATAAGTTAACGGGACTTAACTACCTTTTCACTTATACTTTTCATTAAACTGTATTTCCTAAGTATCATAATATATTAAATATGTATCATCTTTTCTCTTTCAAATAAGATTTTTTTTAAACTGGTAAGAACAGCAAAAGGCACTGACTAAATATGACCTTAACTTTTTCAAAGTATTAAGATAGATTTAACAATGTATTAAAATATTGTAAATGGAGTAAAATGGCAAATCCCCAAATTCCCTATGGGTATTTATTTCAATGGAGCATGGTTAACATTTTATATATAAAAATGGAGCATGGCAGAGGCACGGGCAAGGGGTTAAGATCATGTAGGTGGTAACTGTACTTACTTTAAAGAATGTTCGAGACACTGAATGCTTTAGAGCTTATCCTGCAGGTGTCTGCAATGCCCTGCCAAAGTGGTGCTCGCTCCCTGTTTTCCTCCCGTCCCACACTGTACTGCTCAGCTCAAAGTGGGTGACCTGCTTCACTACAGAAAAGCCCCTAGCGTTTCCTACCAAAGCCTGGTTCATGAACTTTTTTTTGTACCCGGGCTCCATGCCTTACTTTAGAGTTTCACTGTATCCTTTGATAAAATAGAGAGGTAAAATTAAGTGTGTATTAGTTTTATTTCACAGCTTAAAAAGAAGATGCATACGTAAATTGAAATTATTTCCTGAGGGATGAACAAGTGACAGCAGCATTTTGTCGAGTGGCCCAGTCTCACCTCCTGCTGTAGACATCCTGGCCACATGCTCTCAGCTTTGGGTCACGGCATTCCTTTGGGGTGTGCTTTATAAAGCACCCATTTAAGCATAAAAAAGGCCTAGAGGAAGATTTCATAGTTCTTGTTTATGCTTAAGGCCATCATGTTGATAAAACTATGTATATTTCCTTAGTCACTAAATATTATTGGCTTTAAAAGCCAAGAATCTACTATGTGAGAAATAGTAAATACTTCAGAATACAATAAAGCAGCTTCATTAGGCCTTAAAATGTGGCAGCTTTAATTTTTAATTTTTTCGACTAGACTAAAAATCCATATTTAAAATCCCATCCTATAATTAGTACAATCTGTTATGATAAAATTTCATGAAAATATGAGAATTATAATATCTGGGCCTGATTTTGAATCATACATTAAAAACATTAAATGATACATAAGCTGTGGATGTTAAATTCCTATCACCTAGATATTCTCTTAATATGACGACATTGAACAGACAGCCTAGAATAAAATGGTAGATTTACCAAGACCTATGTGACCTTATGAAATTGACTTCATTCTTCTGGTACCTGAGTTTCATTATCTGCAAAATGGTGACAATCTTGTTCAAGGATTTTGGAAGTATTCCATAAGAAAGTACATGATATCAAATCTACTAGCGATGCCTTTCCATATTTTTATAAAATTTAAGAAATAATTTATTGTGTAAGAATTTTAATTCTCTTTTCTCTCTCCTACTGGACTCCAGGAGCTCTGCCTGGCGTTTGGCTGTGGATCTCTACATCTGCTTCCATCAGTCACTGGAGAAAAGCTCTGTGATGACAGTTAGGGTATTCACCAGTCTGATCTCTGGGGCAAGCCAGTTCAGCTCAGGCACCCTCTCCACTATTTCTAGTTGTCCAAGCTGGGGTCATCCTTGGGGATTCCTGGCAGCTTCCCTAGTAACGGGTTTCTCTCTGTCCCCATGATATCTCTCAAGGAGGGATTCTATGAGCAAGTGCATCAGGATCATGATGAGGAAACCTGTAGAGACGACCAAACCACATGAGTGGGAACTTATGAAAGTTGGACCAACAGCTGTGGAGCCTGCATGGGACTGGACTAGGCCCTTTGCATGGTGAGACAATTGTGTAGCTTGATCTGCTTGGGGAGTTCCCTGGTGGTAGGATCAGAATCCATCCCTGGTGCATGAGGGGGCTTTTTGGAGCCCAGTAGCTATGATGGGACACCTCGTGCAACCCTGAGGCAGGGAGAAGGGCTTGGACTTGCCTCTACTGGATGTGCCTCCCCATGGGAGGCCTTGACTTCTTGTGGAGGGTTCAGGGGGGAGGCTGGGGGTGGGGGGGGGGAGGGAAGAGGAGGATCTTTGGTGTGTAAAAAGAATGAAAACATTTTCTTAATTAAAAAAGTTTAAAAAATTAATTCTCAATGCAAACATGTGCTGCATAGGAACTATGTTAAACATAGTACTTTATAAACACTATAGGCAATTATCAACTTGAGAGATGGGGTCTCTTTTAGCATAGGCTAGTCTTGAATGCTCTATGAACCTGAGGATGACCTAGAAGTTTTAACTCTCCTGTCTCTATCTGCCAAGTACTGGAATTTCAGGTGTGTGCCTGTGCTCAGCTGTAACACAATTTTATGAATGTAAAGGTGTGTATATCCTGAACTGTGGCAGAGCCTTCCACAGTGTGACAAATAAAGCTACCACAGTGACAATGCAGCTCACTGATGAATATGAATTCTACTTCTAAAAGCCTATCAATTTTAGAAATGGCCTTTTAGTTTGGCTAAAGTTTTTCCAGTACGTTAATCAACTATGAAAAAAGAATGAAGAGTTAGCAGTGAGCAAGAAAATCTGAGTCTGATGCCTGGTTTTCTCGCTTGTCTCTGCAGCTTGGCACACAATGGGAGTTTCAAAAGGTCCCTATTACCACAGAAAGACAGTATTAATAGTCCTTCAGAGGAGACACTGCCACCTAGTGAGAACTCAGGCTCATTACCTGGGGTTAGCAATATTAAGAGCTTGTCAGAGACTTGACCCTACTTACAAAACTATGTCAGTATCCAGGCTAGGTACTGGTAATACACAAATGAACAAACCTACATTTTTTTGCTTCCTACAAGGTATCAAATACCATAGAAACTACACGTTCCATAGAGAAACTGATATGATATAGAAATGTTTTATTATTCAAAAGCTAACACATGAGGTCATTTGCTTATAAATAAATTTAGTGGGCAAATAAGAGTATAGATTTCAAGACCAGTCTACATTGATTCAACTCCTATACCCTGTAAAAATGTGAAAACAACAGTATTTATGTCATAAAACCTAGTGAAAATTTTAAATACACAAACAAAGTGTTTAAAACATAGTGCTATGTAGGTGCTATAATTATTCTTAAATGTATAGCAACATCATAGATACATAGTAGACAAACACTGTTTAATAACAAAACCTTTATTGCTAAAGTCTGGCTTCATAAAGTTAATTCAGCAGAAACCGTTTCTCTGCCCAGCACTTTGTTATGGGAATCCTCAATGTACATTACTTGTGGTACTCTGTGACTAAACTTTGTATTACTAGATGATTAACCCTTTCAACAACAGGCAAATAAGACTGCCTTCTGAAAGTAAAAATCATATTTCTTACCCCAAAAAAAAGCAAAAAGTCAGTAGAATGAAAGACTCAAAAGACCACAAGCTGAACATATGCTTAAGAGGGAAAGACGCTTGCTGCCACTTCACAGATCCTGCTAGAACTGAAAGATGGATGATACATTTAGCTACCTCTGTGGTCTCATTTGTAGCTTATTTAACTTACAAAAAAATGAACTTGCTTCTTTTTCCTTGAAGATTTCAGAAGCTATTTTAAAGTAACTTAGCTGTCCTCTTTCGTTTGAACCTCATGTCATTGGAACTTAGGAAAACCACATGTGAACTTCATTCTCAGAAAATATATGTTTGAGCAAAATATCTGTGTTGAAAAATAAAGTACAGGCAAAACTGTAATAGGTTAATTAAACCTTAAAAATGTTAATGAACAATGTAGATTATCTGAACTACTGAGTGCAGCCTGCATTCACTAAGTAAAACACGTCAGAGACTGAAGTAACTCATTTCTTTTGTATCTATACCATTCAAAAGAACAGTGCCAAGTTATTTAACTTCTTCCTCAGCTTCCCCTTTTTAAAAATAGGCAACAAAGAGTTTGGAAAATGTGTTGAAACATTTTGAGCTTAATTTTCTTTGTAAAGGTGAATTGTACCAAAAACTGTTTTGAATATGTTGCATAAAGTAAGTAATTTCATGGGCTGTTATTCAGATGTCATCATTTCTGAGATGCTCACCTTTCCAACCCTTCCTCCTGCGCACTCTAAGACAATGCAGACATTACATGCTTTTACCCGTCTGTATTTCATGCTGCAATACAGCTGGCCTGGCATGGCCTGCGGGTTAGAAAAGCTGACTTACGGAGTAAAGGGGAGGAAGACCATCTTTTCCAATTCCATTCCACGAAGATGCTTACTGGCATGCTAAAGCATAAGTTCCTGTCAAGTTACTTAGCTACCGGTAGATGAGCATCAACACTAATATTAATTTTGGTTTCTTCTACTAGAGTGCTTATCATTTTCCAGGGCGCCTTGACAGCCACTGTCTCCTAATGTCCTTAGAGCTCCCTTTGGTAGGGCAGGCGCTGTTCCTAGAAATACCTTTCAAGAGATGAAGGAATGGAGGGTCAGAAAGGCAGGAGGCTGCAGCTAAGGTCACTGAACTGGGCAGAGGAGGAACCTGAGATCCATGTCACTGTCCAGCTAGGCGCCTCCTTCTTTCTGAGCCAAGGAACCTCTAGCAGTGAAGAGAGGGAAGCTACTTGAAGACAAAAGCAGCGGAACTTACCTAACCTTTGCAGTGAAAATGTCACAAGTCTAAAATACAAATTATAAACTGAATAAAGATGGTTGTGAAATCCCCTGAGAGTCTGAGGTAATAACTGTGCCCTCCTCTCCTGGACAGTGGTTCCAATTACACAGGAATTGGGTGGAATTCTTTTTGTCTATGGGACACTGGAACGGGGTAAATAACTATTTCAGGATACTTGTTAGAAGGAGACATCAGCTTTGGACACTGGGTGACCTGAGAAGCCCATCTGCCCTTCTCTGTAATAGGGCAGCAGCGTTTTTGCTAACAGTTGCTAGGAAACCTAAATGGTATTCATTGCCTGACAATTCTATCACTAGGTACAGCAGTTGATAAATTTGAGTATGAATTGAAGAATCATTACTTCTCTATAAGGATCATTAAGATAAACCTTCATTTTCTGCATTCATTTTTAAGATAATTTATTGGGAAATGTATAATATAATCTGCACCATGAACAAATCCTTCAGGTTTATAACAGCTCAATTGTCTAATCACATGTATCATAGCATTAGATAATTCAGCAAGTATTAAGAAAATTATCTTTTGATATTTTTATTAAAGTATGTTTATAGTTTTACATTAATATTACAATACAATTGTATACTTAAATATATATAACTATTGTGTATATATATATATAACTCCAGCTTATCAAAATATTGAATGATGTTATATCACAGTCAAATTTAAGCAAAGAGAATAATAAAAACTTCATTTTTTATAATTAATATATAAAAGTTATAAAATATCTTTGAGGAATATTGTAAAATTAGAAAAGCAAAATCCTAATTTCAGAATAGAAAATAAATATTTAAAAAACAACATAAATCCAAATAATCCTGATAATAACCTATGTCACCTTTTTGCCTCTTTTATATAGTATATTCAAAGAGACTATGCTAATTTCAAGAATTATTAATAAATTTTATAGTACTCAAGATTTGTGGTCCATTATAAATATAAACATTACTTCACTTGCATTAAGCTGGACTTACCATGGAAATCATAAACATAAAGGAGAACTGGCTCACTCTGCCCAAATGCACAAAATGCAACCATATTTTCAAATGGATGGTAGGATATGTCTCGAATAGTTGACTTGAAGGGCAGGTCTGAATACATCGCTACTTGTTCTCCTAATGAAAAAAGAAATGCAACAATTTGTACTATGTCATACATTTCTCATTCTGAGATTATTCTGCACCTTACCTGAAAATACTTATAGCATGAGGCTCACATTATTTACATGAACACCTCAAATACTCCTAAGTGTTTGAGTACCACTGTGATGAACAATTATCTCTATTTTGTAGTTTATGGGCTTCTTTCTGAGTTTTAACCCAACCTCTTCAATATTTTGGGGAACAAAACACACAGGAAGTGTTTTGATGGAAACAGGTATGTATGATGGAGACCTGAGAAAGGTGTAAAAATTGTAAGTAACAAAGACTTTGGCCAAACTGGGGAGGGATTATAACACTCTGTAATTGAAGTGATTCCCTAGTCAGGGCAGAATCGGCAGGGGTTCAATTTTTCTGTTTTAATTTTTCTCCTAGAGGCTGAGGTGCTAACTGCTTAAAAGGTCTATGGTTAGAGCTAGAAGATGCCACAAACAGAAGTTATTGAGACCTAGGAAATTAGCCAGAGTCAAAAGACACCAGAAATATTCTTGTTACTAATCAAACTAAACCATCCATGTTTAACCATGTATCTACCTAGTTACAATTCAACTTACAGAGTTTTGTATTTTGTATTACAGTATTCATAAAATACTTTTCAAGCATCTGCACTATCTGATAGGTACAGAAAGAATAAATCTCAATTTATAATGTGAAATTCTAAATTTACAATGATATTAAAGCAATCACGAACAAATATAATATATATTCAGAATACTGCTGACTTTAACCAGAAGCTATCTGTTGTGGTCTGATATGAATGACCCCAGTGGGCTCATGTGTTTGAATACTTGACTACTTGTCCCCCTGCTGGTACTGTTTCTGAAGGTTCTGAAACCTTTAGGATGTGGAACATTCATGGAGGGGGAAGAGGGGGGGTCACTGAGGGTGGGCCTTGGAGTTTTCTAGTAGCCCTATTTCCTGTTCACTAGTCAGCTTCCGTGTGTGTGTGTGTGTGTGTGTGTGTGTGTGTCCACCTTACACCCTATCTGAGAGAGGGTCTTTTGCTTGCCTCTTCAGAGGCTAGGACTCTGCCTCCCTCCCATTTTGGCCTAGGAATGCCAGGATACAGGTAGGAGTCACTGTTTCTGGGTTTACATGGTTTCTGGGGATTCAACCTCACATGCCCGCACTTCCATGGCAAACACTCATTTTATTTACTGAACTTTCCTCAGCCCCAACCCTGCTTCCAACGTGCCAACGTCAGCAGCAGCCTCCTGCCATCATGTTTTCCTAGCCCTGGAACTGGAAGCTAAAAACACACCACTCCATCCTCCCATTGCTTCTTGTCAGGGATTTGTCACAGTGATGAGAAACCTAACACGCTACCCGATTTTAAAACACCCAAGTCAGATTTAAAACACCAAGTCAGATTTTTCTTGAAAATACCCAAAACCATAGTTTTCACATACTTTGGACTTTCTATCCCCATTCCCTAAAAGATTTTTTAAGATCAATAAATACTTACCTGTCTCTGGGTTCCAAACATACACTATTCCGTCCTCGCTCCCAGAAAAGAGAAAAGTCCCACATGGTGTGAAGGTGCTATGGATCTTCTCCCGATAATTTGCGGCACCGACAAATTTCCTGGCTGCTAGTCTATAAACAAACAAAAAAGTGCAAATATAACCTATCTCAACCAATAAAAGACTAGTGAGAGAGCAATGGTCTTTGTGAATATTGAATTTGCTTAGTAACTAATTTGAGAGGCTATGATATGGTAGGCATTCTGTGACGAAGACTTAATCAACAAAAGTTATTTTCATGTTCCTTTCTAATTTGTGTGACACATTTCTTCTTTCCTCCATTGAATTCTAATAATAATGAGAATACTATCTAGACTTTTTCAGTTAGAGCAAGAGCTGACATTATTCTAGTGCTCACAGTGTGTCAGCACAGACTGCATTATTATTTCACTGGACTTACGTTATTGCCTAAATATATCTTAAGGAATGGTCTATTGTTGGAAAACATTTAATGTAGTTCTTGGTTTCCCCCTCCATGAACGTGGTTTCTTCCCATAAAGGAACCAAATGAAGTACTTATCCTGTTACTACTAAAACACTTACATCCGCAGATCCATGATCCTCAGTGTACTGTCTTTGGTGTGGATTAACAGACGTTTTCCATTGGGATGAACCTCCAAATGACTTATTGGAACTCCCCTAAATTCAGTTTCCTTAATTTCCTAAAATGGTGCCAAAAAGAAAAAAGAAAAGGTCAAACTATTGCTACTCAAGTGTCTGTTTATAAAGGACAGAATTAATTTTAAAATCTCATTTCCAGCTGATAATGGTACCTTACCCATATAATACCAGCACTTGGGAGACTGAAGCAGGAGGACCGCCATGAGTTAGAGGCCTACAACCGGTTGCCATGGGCTACAATGTAAGAGCATTTCTCAACAAAACAAAATAAAATAAAATAAATGAACCAAAATTCACTTCTACTACACTGAATATTTTAAAGTTATTACCAATAAGGATTTTTAGCAACTTCAATTTAGATTTAAAAATAAAAATGACAAACTGTATTATTTGTGTTATATAGTGCCACATTTAATTACATGTTTTGTATATTATCCACTTTCTCAAAATATAGTCAGTCCTAACAAAAGTACTTCACATACATCTTCTCATGTTGTCTTTCCTGTTCATGTCATGTAAGAAACATGTCACTATTTTATAACTTCAAAACTGACTTGGACATTTGTGTTCGATTCAGACTCTTTGCTCATTAACTTCCACTTGCCTTAAGAGGTATGCCGCACACATAATGTTTGCATCACATGACTTAGATTGGAATCATTTTGGGGAAGGCTTTGACTCCACCATCATCTTTCCTCCCTTCCTCCCAGTTACTTGCAGCAGTAAAGATGCCCAACTCACAGTGTCATGTGGGCCACCCAGACTGAAGACCAACCTCCCTGAGCCTTGCATAAGAACTACCCTTACACACAATAAAATCAACGTACAGTGAATGAAACATGCATAGGGAAGACCAGAAACCATAAAGCTGTTAGCAACAGAGGGGAAAGCGTCTGGGCATTGGCCGTGGCCATATTCGGTGGGGGAGGGGTTGGGGGAGGTCAATACGAAACATGGGCCACAAAGGTGTAAGTAAACGGGACTCCACGAAACCAAAAGGCAGGTGTACTGCAGAGTAAGTGACAGCACAATGGACTACAGCACACACACTTGGAAAATAATTTGTAAATCATCTACCTGGGAAGAGATTAATCCTTTAACACAGAAACTCAGTACCAGGAAAACTAATAACTTGGATGAAAAATGGACAACAAAATTAAACAGACATATCTCCACGAAGGACACAAAAATGGCTGAAAATACATGAACAGAAGTTCAACATCACTAAGGATTAAGGAAATCCATCCGTCCATCCATCCATCCATCCCCCATCTATTTTCTCTCCTCTCCAGTATTATTCATCCTCACAAAACAAAAAATATTTTCATTTGCCACAACAATGATGAGCCTGGACGACATGATAAGTAAGTCAGACACCATGTGAAAAATATTGCAAATACTGCAGTCTCAATTATATGGCAAATCTAAAAAAAAAAAAAAGTCAAATACATAAGAAACTGAGTTATGGAGAAGCCGGAAGCTTTAGGTGAGGACACACTGGACGGTGAACAACTCTGGTTATTTAGTATGCACTACGAAGTCTACCTGCAATGATATTGTACTGAACCATGCAAAACATACAGATTTTAGTTTCTCTTGTCACAAAACAACCAAAAGGGCAATGGAACATGATGGTTATGTTAATTTGATTCACTATAGTAACAATTCTGCTAACTATGTGTACTCTCATAACTGTACTACAACCTTCAATGTACAGAACAAAAATTAAAAAAAGTGATTACCAAAGATCTTTCTTGGTATTGCCACAGGAAGAAAAAGAGCTGCAGATGCAAAATAACTTAGGTGTCAGCAGTGCTGGTACCAGGCTGAGCAGAGCTGACTCCCCAGATAACCTTGGTTAAAGTCCGAAGAGGCTAAGGAAAGTCCCTTACCCCGGGGCAGAATTCTGAATCAGCCTTCTTCTCCCTTGAGCTTTGGATTTCTCACCTAGAGGCTTTCCGAGGGCCTAACACCAGCAGGGGCAGACGGGCACACCCAAGATGAGGGGCTGAACCCTGCTATGTCCAGCTCTAACATCTACCAACATTTCTTAATGTTACAGAAAACAGCCAAATACCGACACCACAGATGGGAAATTTAGTGAGTAAACTATAACAAACACAAGATGGAGAAGCTGAAGGAGAGCTGAGCAACCAGAAGAGATGGAAAAGGGCAAAATCCAAACCCTGGGACCAGTGTCGGGTACGAATCTGAGGGGCAGATTGGAGCCATCTAGTGATTTCCTTCCTCTAAGTTTTTCTGTACCGTATCCATGGTCAAACTAAAACACCCTTGTTTTGGAGTCTATGTGAGGCTGGCTGCACACGGCCACTCCATCTTGAGAGGCAGACGAGTGAGTGTCCATCAGCACTTCCCATACTGCTGGCAGAGCACAGCTGAGTCTGGAGTCAATCTCCAGTAGCCATGCGCACTACTGGAAAGACACAGCGGCTCATTTCCTACCTTTTTAGCTGTGACCATTTCAAATAATGCCAACATGTGGATTTTCAAGGGAAATAGCTGTCTGGGTTTAAGATACCTGTTTTAAGGTGTTTAAGTATTGTTACTACCGTTTAAGTCAATCCATGGCTGATTTGCCTCAATTTCCTTCATGGAACCTCAAGGTATGAAATGTGGGTCTGTACCTTATCGATGGTCCAGTGGCGCACTGAGTGTTGCAAATCGTTCACTTTCACGTAAGTGTCCCAAACAACAATCACCCCGATGCAGTCTCCTGAATACATGTGATGACCTATTAACAACAGCAGATTACCCACTTAAGAATATCGCAGACGTTAGAAAACGGTATGAAGTTGGGGGAAGCCAGACCCCAGACCAGTAGTCAAAGCACTGAATTGCCAATGAAAGGCTTTTCAGTTTAAAAGTTAAAAAGTAAAATGCACTATAACCCCAATTATCTAAAGAAAATTTCTCTTTGTCATTTATCTGAATCTAAATACAAAAATAAACAAGCAATGCAATCTACATGTATAGCACTCATGTACTCATATTCTAAATTATTTGAATTGCCCAATGTGTATTCATATTTATCATTATTAGCCTATGTAATCTTTTATATTCCTAGAAAAATACATGTTAACACTAATACACTGTTAACATGATCCTAGTGACCATTACATTTAAAATGATCAGAGAATTAATAAAATCATAAAAATAAGTGTTAACATCAGTCTTTAAAAATGAATGGGACTCAGAAAACAGGTTCAACATCATGGTCATGCAAGAATGCATTCCATCATTGCTAACAAATATGGCTGATTAGCACTGTGAATTTAATACTTTAAAAATAGCTTGAACTGGTGGATACTGCTATGTATTAGAATGTAAGCAAAAATAAAAATTGTCCTTAATTATTAGAATCTCTAAAGTTGAACTGCGTATATTGCAGTATTATTATTTTTCTCTGAACATTGTTTTAGATAATTATAATCTCTAAAATAATATAAAAATGACAATTGAAGGGATGATGGATTTCTTTATTCTTTCCAATAAGTTCAATAAAAACCTCTATGTTGTATTTTTAAAATGTCATTTATATTATTCAAATGCTGAGAACTTTCAATTATTTGTAAATTCCATTCTTTAAAAAAATCCTGTTGATATATTTAACATGTTTACAACATACTTTTGGGATTTCTCCTATCTCTTTTACTTTGTACCACACAACTAAAGGTAATTACTAAAAATAATAATCACCAACACAAATAAATATATTTATGAAATGTGGTACATGAAGGGTTTTTAGAAAAAAAAGATAACTGAATATAAATATTAGGAACTTAATAAGTTTAAAGTTATAAACAGAATATCTTCAATGCCTATCCTGTTACTTAAAACTAAACATAACTGTAAATATTCACAAATGTTAACACAAGTCTCTCTCAAGCATCAATTACTAGTGAAAGAAAATAATCTCTTCAAGTAACTGTCTGTGACTTAGAGCATTTTCTGTGACGAACCTTCATCATCAAAACAGATCGAGTTGACAAAACTCTTGTGGACATCAAGCTGGCGGACTAACACGGGAGCATCTTCTCTCATATCAATTTTCCAGATCCTTATCATGGAATCGTAGCATCCTGTGGCCACCAGCTCTCGTGTAGCTGGATGGAACTTGGCCGTGTAGACGAAAGAAGGATGAGGTAAGACTCGGAATGTACTTGTACTGTTTATTTCATTCTTCCAAACCCTGGAGAAGGATAAACAGCAACAGACTGTCTGAAATTCAAAACTTTCTTTAACTGTCTTTAGAAGAACATAGCCAATAAAACTTAGGTAAGCAAATGCCAAACAATGGTAAGCTAATGTAAATTAATATTTATAACAGAAATATGATAATGATCACATATTGGATTATCTCACTTTTTTTTACAAAGCCATTTCTCATGAAATATATTTTATCTATAACTACAACCTATATTAGAAAATTAAAAATGTATTTGCACTTGGACATAATCTGCTTTTAGAACTAGTTTTGACATTGTGTAAATATACACTGAACAGCTGGTAAAACATTGTTTAACACAATATGCATTATAAAGTAGGGAAGAGGACTGAAGAGATAGCTCAGAGGTTAAGAGTACTGGTTGCAGCTGGGCGGTGGTGGTGCATGCCTTTAATCCCAGCACTCGAGAGGCAGAGACAGGTGGATCTCTGTGAGTTCAAGGCCAGCCTGAGCTACAAAGTGAGTTCCAGGAAAGGTGCAAAGCTACACAGAGAAACCCTGTCTCACCCTCCCCCACCAAAAAAAAGAGTACTGGTTGCTCTTGCAGAAGACCCAAGTTAGGTTCGCGGAGCCCATATGGCGGCTCATAACCATCTGTAATTCCAGTTCCCGGGGATCTAAGACATCCTCTTCTGACCTCTGCAGGCACCTGGCCTGCTGCATGTGGTGCACATACACACTCAGGCAAAACACTCAAACACACAATAATTAAATAAATGCATATATAAATATATGAATAAATAATTTCAAAAGATAGGAAGAAACTTTTAATGATTTTTCCATTAGGTTGTACGTACGTACTGCTTCTGAAAATGATTCCTAGTGGAGGCCAGAGAATTACAGAGCCTAGTAACTTAAATTTGTATTTCAAAGTCTAAATAACATACATATAGATCTTAAACATCATAATTAGTTATTTATTTTTCAATATATATGTGTGCGCGCCCATGTGATACAGGTAGGTCCACAGCTTGACAGAGATGTCTTCTTCAATTGCTTCTCAACTCTACTTTTTTTTTTAAAGAAAGTAAATCACTAAATTTATTAATAAACCATTGTCTGATAGTACCTACTTAATTCCTTTTTTTTCTCTGTAGCTGCTTTATATATATATAAATAATTTTACAATACCATTCAGTTCTACATATCAGCCATGGGTTCCCCTATTCTCCCCCCTTCCACCCCCTCCCCTTACCCCTAGCCTACCCTCCATTCCCACCTCCTCCAGGACAAGTCCTCCCCCAAGGACTGAGATTGACCTGGTAGACTCAGTCCAGGCAGGTCCAGTCCCTTCCTCCCAGACTGAGCCAAGTGTCCCCTGTATAAGCTCCAGGTTTCAAACAGCCAACTCATGCAATGAGCACAGGACCCGGTCCCACTGCCTAGTTGCCTCCCAAACTGATCAAGCCAATCAACTGTCTCACCCATTCAGAGGGCCTGATCCAGCTGGGGGCCCCTCAACCTTAGGTTCATAGTTCATGTGTTTCCATTCATTTTTTTTTCAATAATTGAGTAAAACTGAAATTTATTATAAGCCACAGTCGTCCTAGGGACCTCCATGCTATATATATAGCCTCTATGGTTCTATGGGTTGTGGTCTGATTGTTCTTTATTTTATAT